ATCGCCAAAATCTGATTAAAGTAAAGAAGTGAACTTAAATTTAATATTATAAATCTCACATTTGACAACAGGACACTTTAATCATATCTGCACATTAATGGGTGTGATTTACACAGCAGAGATGAGATCGGTTCATGTTTTTTTAAACCAAACCGAGACTCATTAACAAATCTCAAAATTTACTATCACTTCATAAAGATATTAGTTGTAAACTGTCTTATTAAGAGAGATTTTTCTATAAATAGTGACATTACGAAGGAATTAGAACGTAGCAGCTATATGTGTTCTACTTTTGAGATAGTTAAAAACGATTTCAAAATTTGAATTGAGCTTGTGAAATTTTTGTCCCAGTTGCAATCTATTCCAGTATATATCTCTATGCATCAATCTTTGCAACGATCAAACTACTATATATACTATGAAAAAAAAAGTGGAAATGTAGAAAGCACCTTGAGAGCAAAGAAGAGTATAAGGAAAGGAAAAGTCTAACGCATAGATATAATCATAGAGAGAACGAGAACAAGAGAAGCGAATCATGACAGGGAAAAATCTTGTGATCGCATCTAAATAGATGCAGAATATAACAGAGTGAACTATACAGAACTCTTTGTTTTAAAAATTATTATTTTTTTTAAACCAAATTTTCCTGTTTACACAATTTGTAACGATTAATAGTTTCTCAATCGCTCAACTAAGAAATTGGATTTTTATTGATTTATGTAGATTAGTGATCATCAACTTCGATGCTATACATAGAGTACTTAATATCAATAGATAGATTCTCTACCGCGTTTCTGTTGACATTCCGATGCTTTTCCTTCTATAATTTCATAGAAATAAATATAGGATTTTAAAATCTCTGAATCGCTTTGAATGCAATATGGAAGATTATTCTTTCCAGTTACATATTACCTATGAATGATTTATTGTCATAGTATCAGAAATGGAAACTGTGTGGTTATCCATATCAAGAGACAATTGACAAACAAATCTGAGAGAAATAAAATTTTCACAATTCATAGATACATTTATTTTTCAAATCTATCTTCTCCGATTTTGAAATACGGATCGAGGAACAAAAAAATACATAACTCATATTTTCAATGAGATTCATATAAGAAATTATCATTCCTATTATCATTTTACTTTATATCACAGTTCAGACAATATCAACTTTCCAAGTTTTATGCACACTAGAAAGTTTTGTTTAAGGAGCACAGTGAACATATTTGTAGAGCAATACATTCTGTATAAAGTCAATACAAAGTCAGGTTTCAAAACTATTTTTCGAGATATTTCTAGTTAATAGGTTAGATTTGAAATCAAACTGATTCCAACACTGTTACATACACAGCACTGCCTGAGGCGCTGAGGGTATCGGGATTAAAGTGAAGAAGAACCGAGAACAATAGAATAAGAACATAAGTTCTAAATCTATTTCCCATCCTATGATTTCATTTGTCTCTATAATTATGCCCATGCTTTCTCTTATTTCGTTGAACTTCTTTTAACGGTGACCACAGAGGACTCTAGTGGGACGACATCTATTATCGCAATCATTTTTACATAATCCTCTTTCTAAATGCTTTTATAATTGTTTTAATTGGTTCCATGAATTGATAAGATGTATATGTATATATATATCGATTGATATAGTTATTTGTGTTGTTTGTTCTTTGTTATTCGTAGTCAGTTTTTCATTATATTTTATGATTTCAAATAAACTCATACATCTAGTCTAGCAAATAACTTGAAAGATTATTTCTTTTCTTTTTTGTTCGTTAGATGAGTCTTTGGTGTGATAAATATCGTCCAAAAACATTCGATGAACTTGATTATCAATTAGAACAAGCAGATTTATTACAAACAATTGTAGCTAGTGGTGATTTTCCACATTTTTTAATATTTGGTCCAAATGGTTCTGGTAAAAAAACTCGTATAACATGTTTACTTCATGCATTATATGGTGATGGTGTTCAATCATTACGTATTGAAAATCATGAATATGAAACACCATCAAAAAAGAAAATTGAAATAACAACAATTGGTAGTAATTTTCATATACAAGTCAATCCAAGGTATGTTAAAAAAAGAAAATATTTAAAATAACAATATAATAAGTACATTGGTGCTCAAAATTGATCTTACACCAAACTGATGGCCATCTTCTCAAGATGGGTTCCACCGATTGTTATGAATAAATACATGAACGCTTTTTCTCCTCCATGTGTTCAGTTACTTCATCATTTGGTTCATCATCATCTGTAGATGAGTTTTCATTAAAAAATGAATTCTTTTTGGTAAAACAATATCACTTTTCACATATGTGCCCTGTTTTTGAGGACAATAAACGGTAGATTGAAAAAGTAAAAATACTTCAAAATGTCGACATCGCATTAATTGCTGAGCCGAGTCAGAGTTGGAACCAGACAATTTTTTTCTGCCCGGCCCGACCAGCAACCGGCCGGATGAATTCTACAGCCAAATTGGCAAAAATCCGGCGAAAATCATCGACCATGAAAGTATCTGTTCACATAAAATGGTAGCGAAAGGGAATTGAATATTTACATGTAGAAATTCGAACTAGGGGTGAGCATTTTAAATTTACGAAAGTTTGATAAATCCAAAAATCAATTTTGTAAATTTAAATTTGTTTTTGAATTGTTTAAGTTTATTTAAATCCAGTTTAAATCAATATAAATTCAATTTAAACCAAATAGAATTCAATTTAAATTCATTTAATTAGATTTTAATCCATTTACACTAATTCATATGGGATTTAAATCTAATTGAATGAATTTAAATTGCGTTTTATTCCGTTTGAATTGGATTTATATTGATTAAAGCTGAATTGAAAATTTATGTTAATCCAATTTAAAATTAAAATAAATTTAACTTTTAAAAATTAACATTTCAAATAAATTTATATTTTCATATCTGAAAAATTTGAATTTCAAATTTAAATTCACAAAAGTTTAAATTTAAAATAAATTAACAGGAAATCGCCACTACTAATTCGAACTGGAAACTAAAACTGGGGAATGAAACTCTCATCATCATATTTTAAAGCAAGGTGCGTCAACCTTTCGAGTCCGATGTCGATACAAGTTAACTATTTAGATCAAATTTATTTTTTTATCTTAATCTTAAAAAAAGGAAAAAAGCAAGTTTGTAATAAATCTAACACAAAATTGTAAATATTTATTTTTCTTGATTCAGGCAGCTGCCTAAGTAGAACGAGAAAATAAATTATTTGATCTAGGTTAAATTGGGTGATACCCGAAAAAGAAATCGATAGAGCTATAAAGAGAACAATCAATTGTTTATAGTCAAGTTAAAGACAAGATATCTATTGAGTCTGTCGCAAACACGTTCTTTTGACTTGAAAATTTCATAAAAATACCGTTTTCAGTAGAGAAAATTTTTGGATGCAAACAACAATTTTGTAATGATGCACTGGCAAAAAATCCGGTCCTGTCCGACCCGGTTTGACTTGTCCGGTCCGGCCGGACCGGTTCTAACTCTGGACCAAGTCCATATGTAAGATCATATCTGGCATCCAAATCGACATTTTTTTTCATGGCCCGACGAGTTTGCACTCGAAATTATGTTCCGAGTCGAACTGAGTGTCCGAACGAGTTGCAGGACACTACTGTATATGTATATTTCTATTTTTTCAGTGATGTGGGAATTTATGATCGTGTTGTTATTCAAGAATTAATTAAAACAATTGCACAAACTAGACAAATTAATACTACAGAACAACGGTCATTTAAAGGTTGAAGATTTTTTTTTTGTTTTTATTTAATAAAAAATATATTAATGTTTTTTGTTTTTTATTTACAGTTATTGTTATTGTTGAAGTCGATAAATTAACACGTGATGCTCAACATGGTCTTCGTCGTACAATGGAAAAATATGTTAGTTCATGTCGACTTATTCTTTGCTGTAATTCAATATCACGTGTTATACCTGCTATTCGAAGTCGATGTTTAGCTATTCGTGTAGCTGCACCAACTATAGATGAAGTATATTGATAAAATATATCTATGTTTTTTTTTTATTTTAACATAAAAATTTCAAATAGATTAGTGGAATTTTAAAAAAAGTTGCAACAATCGAAGGTATACAATTACCAGTTGATTTAGCAAATCGAATTGGTGAAAAAAGTCAACGAAATCTTCGTCGAGCTTTACTTATGCTTCAATCATGTGTTACACAAAAGTTAGATTTATATTCAAAAAAAAATTTTTTTCAAAACGATTTACGGATTTCTTTTTTGTCTCTTAGAGTTCCATTAACTAAAGATCAACAAATAACTGAACCTGATTGGGAAATATATTTACGTGATACGGCTCGAATGATTGGTGAACTACAAACACCTCAACGGTATGCCTTATTTATCTATTTTCACATAAAAATTCTTTTTTGTTTTTTGTAGAATTTTAGAAGCACGTGAACGTCTCTATGAACTTATTGCACATTGTATTCCAGCAGAAGTTATATTTAAAGTGAATAGTTTAATTTCATTTTATTAAGAAAATGATTTTTTTTTGTTTTCTTTCAAAGGGTTTACTTGATGAATTATTAGCTAATTGTGATGATTTATTAAAATCTCAAATAACTCAAATAGCAGCTGAATATGAACATCGTCTTCGGCAAGGTTCAAAAGAAATTTTTCATCTTGAAGCATTCATAGCTAAATTTATGTGTATTTATAAACAACATATGCAATCAATGGCTGCTGGTCTTGATGATTGCTTTGATTGATAAATATATATGTCAGATTTTTCTTTTTTCTTATTGTATATGTGTAGATAAAAAATAAAAATCAGGGCAATAAATAAATTATTTTTGTCGTCATACGCCTACTGTAGTGATTAATATATATGAGAATATTAAGCAGGTGTTGTGAACGATACATCCATGAATCTATAAAAGAAAAAAAAACTATTTAAGTGCAGTGTGTCTTTCCTTTTTCATTCTTGTCCCAAACGAAAATGTTGTTGCCTTATTTCAGCTTTCTTCTAGCATGTGGTAAGAAATTAAATAATAAATTTATTTTAAATTTCAATTGTCTTATTAAATAGGTATTACGGTTGCTCTTCCCAGTCGGGAAAATACACTATTTGAGCGAATGAGAATTTTAGTAAGAAATTTAATCTTTGAAAATTTTCGAATTTATTTTGAAAATTAAAAATATTAAAGGGTCCATTGGGTCGTATCAACAGTCGTATAGAGTTTTCATGTCCGGCATTAAATCCATCACCAACAGTTCCTACTTCAGGTATGAGTTTATGTTTTGTTTACATATGATTTTTATAATTAGATGATTTTTAGTTCATGCTTTACGACCAGCTGATATTCAACATGTTGCTGCTATCGGTGATAGTTTGACTGTATGTTTGATGAAACAAAAAGACAAAATCGTTTAATATTTTAATATTCTAGGCAGCTAATGGTGCCAAAGCAAGTACAATTATTGGTCTTCTCATCGAATATCGTGGTGTTTCATGGAGGTAGAAAAAATAATATAAAAGAAGAGTACCTATGCCTTTCAGTATAAACTGCTGCCCAGTGACAGATTCAGTAGCCTGATAACTTTCCTACAACTAATACTAGCTGTAGCTTTAGACAGAAGGCCGGTCCGACGCAGAGTTCTTGCATGAGCTCCTCATACACATTAGCTAGCCACAAGAGCCGGTGTATATCACAATTTAGTATCGACGCTTGAACACAATACTTTGCTGATATGTGTCGAGCAACGCAGTTATAAGAATCTCCAAAAGAACTACTTTAATTATCTTTTGATTGTATTATTTTTAAATATTTCAGCGCCGGTGGTGATTCTGATCTTACTAAAGCTGTTACTTTACCAAGTATGTTGATTTTTTGTTTTGCTTGTATTTTAAAAAAACTTCTTTGATGTATATTTTAGATATTTTGAAAACATTTAATCGCAATCTTTACGGCTTCTCAACTGGTACTGGTAGTCGCGATACTGCGAATGCTATGTTCAATGTTGCTAGACCAGGTGCTGTTTCAGCGTAAGAATTTCGTAGATAGATCAAATAATAGCCTTGTTATTTTTATTATTTTTTTTCTAAATTTTAGCGAAATGCCAGATCAAGCTAATATGTTAGTTGACCGAATGATTGAAAAATTAGGTACTAGTAGATTCGAGTCAGAATGGAAATTAGTAACATTCTTCATTGGTGGTAATGATCTTTGCTCTTATTGTGAAGATACGGTATGTATTTTATAATTTATGGAACAAATTCATAGATGACTTAGAATTTTATTACTATTATTATTATTTTTTTTTATATAGAATCGTTATAGTACAGCAGCTTATAGAAATAATATTAAAACAACACTTGATATATTACATAATAGAATGCCACGTACTCTTGTTAATTTTGTTACTGTTCTTAATGTTGCTGAACTTGAAGATTTACATGAAGGTGTTGTCTGTAAAAATATGCAATTGTAAATTTTAAATGATAGAAAAATTGATTTCTATTTCTATTAATGATTATTTTTTATAGTTTTTTATGTGATTGTGCTGTTAATACTACTACACGTGAGCAAGTTCGTGTTGCCAATCTTGCATATCAAAAAGCAACAAATGACTTGGTTGATTCGGGTATTTATGATACAAGAAATGATTTTACTGTTGTCCGTCAACCATTTATGGAACATATGGAAGTTCCAACAACAGTAATGAGAACTTTTGTTTTATGTTTTTCATTGAGATTTATATTATAGTCTACTGGTGCAACTGATTTTTCGTATTTCGCACCTGACTGTTTTCATTTCAGTGCAAAAGGTCATGAAGCTGCTGCTGTTGAACTTTGGAATAATATGGTATGTTTGATTTCTTTTCAGAGAAGTTTTTTTTTGTTTAATTATCTTTTTTTTATTTATTTATATATAGATGGAAAAAGTTGGTCAGAAGGGGACATTATGGAATTTAGCAGATACACTTAAATGTCCGTCTACAGTAAGTTGACTGAATTTTTTTTTCTTCGGTATTTTATAGTATTTTTATTTTGTTTAGGGTGACGGATACATCTATACATCGAAAAACAGCTAAATATTCTTCTGATGCATTGATCTTTCTTTTTTTCAATAAATAAATACATCACGAAAGGAATTAATAAGTTTTACAGATTGCATTAATATGACTACAATGTAATAATCTATTTTTAAATGATAAGTTATAGACGTTAGTCTATAACTTAAATGGGTGTGTTTGTTAGCAAGTTTAGTCTTTTCAAGGACAAATAATATAATAAAAACCCACACTATGCTCTGTTATGATATACGGGAAAATCGAACATATGTGAAGCATCAAATCGTTATTGACAGATATGAGAAAACGAAAAAGAAACAATTTTCACGTGCTTTTTTATAGTTCTAATAGTACTTTTTAATAATTGATCGAATATATCTTTAGATTTAAATATTTTCATAGAAGATCATTAGAATATTATTCTTTTGTATGAAAACAAATGTTTCAGTATATGTATATAACTTAATAATGAAAGAAAGAAAGATTCAATATAAATTTTAGTATAAATAATTTTCAATCGACCTTCCAGCTTGTTCTTGATTGACAATTAACATAGATTGTCCTATTTTAATTTGTTTTTTGAATCAGACCTATATCGATTTTAGTCAGTTTCAAATTCGACTCTAATTAAAATCTTTCAATCAAAATCAATGAGAATAATAATCTAACTTCAGGAATTATTCTACAACGCAAAGTATCAATCTATTCGTTAATGAAAAGCTGATCGATCTATTCCAAACATAAGAGAGAGAAGAGCTCGACAAAGCATAACTGACTATAAAATTCCTTCTTTCATGAAAAAATAAAATCTATCATGTTCTGGCTTTTCTTTCTTTCTCTATCACTTACTCTTTCAACATATAGAAATAATAAACTATCTTTGTTATTCATTTCGATTATCTTAATTAGCTGCCAAATTAGGAATGGGCCGAATCTGAAAAAAATTAAGCTGGAATAAATCAATCAGAGATCAGTTTTGAAGATATTCGGTCATCATCAGCAGAGATGAAATAAACATTTATGAAAACTTCAGTATAATTAGAAAACCTATATAACACGTAAGTTTGCACTATCACCAGTGTATCGATGATTTATCGCCCATGGGATAAAAAATTAGGATATATTCACTGCGAAACGCGTTAATGCTGACCGATTTAACGCGTTCGCAGCGTTTCCCATGATGAGAAACGTATACAACTCTTTTTTCCACTTACTCAAAACGCGTTTTGGAGCCACAATTCTCGGATGAAAACGTAAAGTATACCGTCTCGCGACGTTTTTATCCGATTTAGCAGCTGCAAAACGCGTTAAACCGGTCAGCATTAATGCGTTTCGCAGCATTTAAAAGTAACGAAATTTTTTCCATGGGCGGCGATAGCACTTAGGACTTTGTGTTTCCCACTCAAAGTCGAATTATTCATTAGAAAAAATTCAAAGTAATCGAGAAGAAAACAGTTTCAGAATATATTTTACTAATAAAAATTTATTTTATGACTATGACCGATTTGGATTCTGCGGCTAGTACAAGCGACTCAGATGCATCAACACTATCAGAGTACATTGACAACGACTCAATTCTGTCATTTTTAACAGACTTCAAAATAATTCATCCGTGTTGATACAATACGTCATGATACAATACTTTCAAAAAAAAAGTCAGTGGTAGTTTCTCGATAGTTATCACATGGGAATATATAGCAAACGAGATGATAAGATGTGTGGATAGGTGTCGGTATGAGTATGGATATAGTTCTTCTCTTCATTGACAGCCACGCCCACATTCCTGTTATATACATTATTGTACATGAGGCATTCTACTATGTATTCGCGCAATAAAATTTTATATATTAACTATCTTATAAAATTTTAAATACCAAGATCAGAACTTTTGGTCAACCCCAAATAGATAATATTCGAGTTCCATTCTACTGCGAAATGCAGTACGAAGCTTCAAATCTCGATTGTCAGAGAATTCGATATCTTATAGAAAAATGAATCATTGTTTATATGATTTGTCACAAAATGCTTTCGTCAAAAGATATTTACGTGTTACTGGAATCAGGATTTTTTTCCTTGCTCTAAATGAGAAAATTTAAGCTTCAATTGATCAACTGACTTGAGTCAAAATGAAAGTAAAAAGTAGCCACTCCGAAATTCATTACGAAGAAAACTCAGTATATATTACTTTAGAAATCATTTTTAAGAAAATAAACCATTTTTTGGAAAATAAAATTTCTGCAAAAATCATCTGTGGAAGATCTTTGTCATATTAGGTAAAAATCCAAAGTTTTTTTCGTATTCTTAACTCAGTCCACGTTAACTAACGCTATTCGACGCTGTAAACCAATGCTAGATCTGACATCGAAGAATATTTACTGAAAATTTGAGTTCAATTAGACTTTATCTAATTGTAGCGCTTACAAAATCAAGAAAGCCAATTTGTGGGAAGATCTGTAGTATAAAAGTCAAACACTTTTTTCTACAAAAAATGGGTGCTACATATTTTTCCGGTACAACTTAAAAGTTGATTTTGAATATCATTCTGGTTTTGCACTAGTAGGGATTTAAGGGCAAAAAACGGCCGTTTTAAAAAGACTCGTAGCACGGCTGTACTCATTAGCATGAAATGGCGCTATGGTTAATGATGAACCACATTTTTCTATTCCATTTCTGATTCCATTGAAACAACTTTTTCATACAATAAAGCTTATCAGCCAATTAGTCGTTCTGGATAGTTTTTCATTTTAAAATATTTCGTTAAATTGATAGTAAAAATGATATCTGCATAATACCAATTTAAGAAAGATGTTTTTGATGATGAGTATTTCCAACATTCGACTTGGTTTCTGGAAATTTTATTTTAGGATAAGATAGACTAATCATTGATGTATTTATTTCAATATTTGAGTATTGACAGAGAGAACTTTCGGTCATATCCGTCTGTTTGGTCACTGTGTCACATCTGCCATTCTGATGTATATGCTTGAACCATTCCTTTTTCGAAAGACAGACTGTGCAATTCTCTACAAAACGTTATGATAAGAACTCTTCTAGTGAGTAGCTATAGAATTATATTCAGTCAACGTTACAATGCTCTAGAACGACTCACTTTCAAAGCACTCGTTTTCGTATTAACGATCTTGTGCCGCTCTTTTGATCACATATAAAAAGATTGAATAGACTATTTTGTAGTCCATGAAAAGTTCTGTTAGTTCGGCGAATACTTTTCTTTGGCATGCTGTCAGCTTACCTAAAGAAAACCTTTTTTTTTTGTTGTTTCCCTCTATTCGCATTCTGAGGATCTTCCATTAAGATTCATTGGAAATTTATTACATATTCAGATTTATTACCTAGTTGAAGAAAAATATTTTCTCTATCATTTCAACGCAAGCAAAATGTACTAAAGTACTTTTTTCTGCAACGCTTGACGTGTATAATGAAAACAATTGATAGTTTCAACTCGTCTTTTTAAGAAATTTGCTCGCTGGAATCTCACAATCGCATCTGAATACCTTCTTTTGAGCTTCACTAGAAAGAATACACTTGAAAATATAGGCAGCCTGTAAGAGAGTAGAATCTCGTATCTGTTTTGTATACAAAAACACTTCTATGACAATCCATTCAAGAGATTAATAAATATTTACTTAATTTTTAATTTAAAATATGATTAATATATTTTCATTTTATTTTTATTCGAACGCTCAAAATAACTCGATTGATACATAGCTCAAAAATATTAAAACTAACATTTTCAAGAAGAAACTGTAAAACATTTTACAGATTTCTTAACTGATTATTCTCTATTTGTAATAGAGAATCTGACCATTTAGACAATTTTCTGATTCAATCATGCATTTGTACCAATGGGTCAATCCAATTCAATTCGAATCCATTTTAATATTACAAGAAAAAGAATTAATCAAAAGATGCGCCTCTGATACTAGGAATGGTACAAATAGAATAAGTACTGCTTTTCATTGCATAGTCCGCAATAGCAGCAACCATTTCGATTATAACTTTCATCGTTTCGAAGTTATAAACGAAAAAATTTTTCAATCGATAATTTCATTATGCAATGAAAAATCTTTACATTCACTTTATTTAAACGATCGACTATCTTCTAACCACTATTCTACCTACAAATAGTACTAATTGAAATGCAGAACAATGAATATTTATATATATAGTTTAATTAATAATCAACCTATTAAAGATTGAACTGCTAGATTTAGTTTTTATGTTCCGTCATCTGCATAATTTTCATAATGATACTACTTAGCTGGCAATATAAAAATACAACTATCGAATATGTCAAAGAATGATACTTATCGAAAAACAGTTCGAATCATATCGCTTGAAATGAAGCCTTCCATATGATTCAAATCGGACAACAACTGTTCGATATAATATGCGCTATACCAATGGCATCGACAAAAAACCACCACTATACCGATATTCTGATATTTAGACGATTTGCTATCCTCTAATCAGCAATCCACTGCCGAACATACCGTCGGTACTGCGAACAAACGTGCAACATGAGATCAGAGATGTAATCGGTACCGGTTATTACTGATATGTCTTATTAATTTTTTTGCTCTTGGTATTCCATGGAGGATGTATAATGAAACATTGTTGAAGGTTGACTATGTCAAATATCACTATACAAATTTGGAATAGTACGATGACTCGTCAGTCCAGTGTCGATATAGATTTTAGATTGACCGGTCTAGTCTACTCAGGCCTGTATCAATGCCAGTCATGACAAAACTCAGATCGGTTCCATCTATGTATGAAATGGCAATAGTTTAAACCAAGCAATTGGAAAAATTAATTTTTTTGTTTATTTAAATGAAAATTTAGATCGTCATATACATTTTCCGAATACATTATTGTTCTTACGAAACCATAGAGGTTTCATAAAATTAAACAAAAAAAAATATTTATGAAAATAAATTACCCATTTGATACGAATTGATTTTCGTCTAATTTCTGCGATTTTTCCTTTTAGTATGTCGAAATTCGTGAAAATAAATTTTGTTTTTTCAACATCTATATAAAGATATATCACTCAATACCAACATTTGTTAATGTTCTATCCAAATTTAATTAGTTCTATTATTGCTTTCTCAAGCTATTACGATAGATCGTCAATAATTCAAATAAAACAATAATATTAATCAGTTTCAATACGATAAATAAATTCACTTTTTTTTTTTGTAATAATCCAATGAAATCATGAAAACAATCGACGGCTGTCGTGTATTACATCTATGAGAAAAAAATACATCTGGATCAACATATAATATAATGTGTTACTGATAAAAGAATCCCATGATATTTTTTTTAAAAATCTTGTGCTTGATTAAAACAAGAATATCATGTGTTCTATAAAGATCGTTTGCTCAATAGTCTTTTTTCTATTGTCATTGAGCAATATTTATTGTGACAAGGATGCAGACATTAATACTCTTCAACAACTAATCAGCAGTTTAAGTAATGCACAAAAAGAAAAAATTTTTCAATCACTTTTGGAAAATTCAAATCAAGGTCGACAAGATAATTCAAACTGGTGTTGTAATATTGATCCTGGTAACAAATTCTAATTATTCGATTATTTTAATACTAATACTTTTTATTTCTTTTCAGGTGTTGAAGCTGCAGCAAAAACTCGTCAAACAACTTATTACGTTCAACGACATGCACGCAACAAATGTGGTTATAGTGATTGCGGTCTATTTGGTTGGTCAAGCTGTACAAGTTGGTGTGATACATATTGGTCAGAAATGCAACATGGCGTTGAAACATATATTGTTTATACGCCACGTTTATGTCCAGCAGGAAATCTTGTTTGTTGTGCTGGTTATATAACAGTTATCAATCATTGCTTTACCTATCAAGAAGTTATGAATAACAAAGATGTTTTAGAAATACTTGTTTCTATGGGTATTCCTATTAATCCAACAATGGGTTAAATAATAATAATATTAATAATAAAGACTAAAATAATAAAAATAAACTAACGACATCTATCATGAATATATTTCTATTTGTTCATTTTGATTACCAGTATACTAAAAGAACAAAGAGCTTTCTTTTTTCTTTTTTTTTTCTTATATTTTCTTTGCCCTTGAATTGTGCAGATCTAATATGGCAACACGAACATCAACACGATCAACTAAAGCCGTTAAATTTGTTGATTCTGCTGATGATGATGAAGGAGAATTTGATAATTCAAGTGCAATAAGAATAAAAAATGAACCAAAAAAAGCTAAAACTCGTGGTCGTACACGTCGAAATCAAACAAACGATGATGAAGATTGGGATGCAAGAAATGAACAAAGTGAAGAAGATGATGAAAATGATGATGAGAGTATCGATAATGGAGATGTTACAAAAAAATTTAAAACTAATACTGTTAATCGTTCGATTGATTCTGTTTATGATTTTGGGTAAGAACAATTTTCTCTTGAAAAAAAATAAACAACAATCTATTTTTAATAAAGAGAAATGAGTAATACAACAAGAAAATGGTCAAAAACAACAACAACACCAACACCACAACGTAATAGTACTGTTAGTGATACAGGAAAATCAATGGAAAAATTAATGTGTTCATATTGGTAAGAGTGAATAAAAATAAAAAGGAAAACTTAACAAAAAATTCTATTTTAGTAATTATACAACAGCAAAAAAATATCTTCTTCAACGACATTTAAAATCTCATTCAACTGAACGACCACATAAATGTAAAAAATTTTAAATAATAAAAAACAAATAAATGAATAGATTGGTTTTTTTGTGATTAGGTGCTTATTGTGATCGATCATTTAAAACAACAATACAATTAACTAATCATGTTAATACACATTTAGGTGTTAAACCATTTCAAGTAAAAAATAAAAAACAAATAAATTTCTGTTCTCCAAAAATAAAAGTTTTCTTTTTCTTTTTTCTAGTGCAAATTTTGTTCATTTTCATTTACAACAAGTGGAGAACTTATTCGACATGTTCGATACAAGTAAATATATATTATTTTTAGTTCTTGATTTAATTTTTTTGGTTTTTTTATTTTTACAGACATACACTTGAAAAACCACATCGATGTGACGAATGTGGTTATGCTACGGTTGAATTAAGTAAATTAAGACGACATATTCGTACACATACAGGAGTATGTTATTTATTTATTGTTGTCTTTTTTTTCGTAAAGTTTATTTTCTCTTTATAGGAAAAACCATATGCATGTCCACATTGTTCATATTGTAGTCCGGATACGTTTAAACTTAAACGACATTTACGTGTACATACTGGTATAAGAAAAAAAAAAGACAATATTTAATAATTATTGAAGATTTTATTTTTTCTAGGAGAACGTCCATATCAATGTACAATTTGTAATTTTCGTTTTACTCAAAGCAATAGGTAAGAATGTTTATTAAGACAAAATAGGATATATCCATCTTTCATTTAATCTTGATTCTTTACAAAGATTATTTTTCTATTTAACCATATGACAAAAAAAAAATGTACGATATGAATTGTATATTTGATGAAATTTTCAACAAGATCGAAATTCAAAAAAAAAAAAATTTAGAAAGTTCGTTTGTCAAGCAGCACTTTGTTTTTTGCATCCTACTCAGTGTTTTATCCAGAGGGATGCCCGGGGGGGCCGCGCCCCCCCCCCCCCCCCACCGCGTTTGCCCCCCCCGAAACTTCCGATCACGTACCAAAAACCCCTTGGTTGCCCCCCCCGAAAATATTTTTTCCCCCCCCCCCGAAATTCCAAATCACCCCTCCGGAGAAAAAATCCTGGATAAAACACTGAATCCTACTATATATAAAGTATAGTACATTAGAATTTTTATAAGCGAAACATAAATGAAATGAGAATATCGTAGAGTAAAAGTTAATTCTTTCATAATTATTCGAACTTTATATATTGTCTAATTGATGTAAAATTATACTAGAACAAATATGAGTTGCTCTAAAATTAATATTACAAGTGCAATCGCTATTGACTATAGTTATATAGCTGATTCTGTATGCAATACCCTGAAAGCGGAGTTCATACCCTTAGTTTATTACTTCGCATTTTTTTAAATGAATGCCATATTCTAGAAAAACTGCTTTTTCAAATTTAGAGGTGAAACTTTGTATAGATACAAGTCACTTAACAAGAATAGTTTACTGCAAAAGTTTCAGATCTTTCGATTTGCTTCTATAAGGATAAAATATACAGATTGATATGAACAATTTAGAAGATATGCTATTACTACAGTTGTATCTTATGGTAAGAATAGTGATAAGATCTGAAAGATTTACAAAAAACTATTCTTGTTAAGGTCTGTTTTTATGCAAAGTTTCAATTCTAAATTCGAAAATCAGTTTTTCTAGAACACGGAATTCATTCAAAACAATACACCTTGACAGCAATAAGCTAAGAATACGAACACTTTTCAGAATATTCATAACTCATTACAGTCAGTCGGGTTGATTGCAGGCTGTAGATTACATAACGCATATAGTTTTGACTCAAACATGATTTATCAGTTACTATTTAATTTCTTAATTTGATTTTAGTTTAAAAGCTCATATGTTAACACATCAAGCTGAAAAACCATCATTTCCTTGTTCATATTGTCCATCTGTTATGGCTCGAAAATCTGATCTTCGTTATCATATTGGTAAACAACATGCTCGTCAATCCGAACCATTATCATGTACTAAATGTGATGAAGATTTTCCTGATAAGTATGCTTATATTTCAAAAATTTTGTATTTAAAAACAATCCATTTCACATTTAAGATATTCATTACGTATGCATGGTAAAACTCATAAAGGTCAAACAATACATTCATGTACACATTGTGAATTTTCTGCTAATACAAGTCAACAATTAGATGATCATATGAATAAACATCGTGGTACACGTCCATTCCAATGTAGTGAATGTGGTTTAATGTTTGCAGCTCGTGCTGATTTACGTGCACATGTTACACGTACACATAGAAATGCTTTAACGCCAGCAATAACATCAACACCAACACCAACAACAACAATAAATTCTCCAACAACAACAATAAACCATCGTCCACAACGACGTGCTGCATCATTACAACATCGTTTTATAGGTGTATCATCAGGTGCTGACGATGATGAACATCAAGAAGATGATTTTCATTGTCCAATATGTCATAGACAATTTACATCAGCACGTTTACTTGATAGACATACATATGCTGTACATGAACCAAAACAAGATTCATATGATGATAGAGATTATCAAACAAATGATATTGAAGATGATGATGATGATATACATGATTATGCTGATGATGAACTTGAAGAAAAACCAAAAATAAATATGAATAATAAAAATGATATTCATATAAATCCATTAAAAGTTGAAGAAGGTATAACAGATGATGAACAAGTAATAAATGAAGAAGAACATGATTTAGCACCTAATGTTGAAGATATAATTGAAAATATTGATGATGATGATGATAATAATAATTATGAACAAATACCAACAATTAAATCAATATCATCAGCTAGTAAAAAACAAATTGGAATAATAAGAAAATTTGATGAAATTGATGATGATGATGATTTATCAAATAAAAGAAAATGTAATATAATTCGAGGTATGTTTAAATATTAAAATAATATTTTTTATAATATTTATTTGTTTTTAAGCGTCATTCAAATCTAATGATGATGAAAAACCTGATTTTGATGTATTCGGTTTTGATGGATAATTATTTTTTTTTGTGTGCTTGTTTATATTCAACGAAAAAAAAATTTATTGTACTTATTAGATATTCTTCTTCTCATCGTGTTTGTTTATTTGTATGTGTAGAAAACTTATTTTGGTTGGTTTTTTTTGTTTTGTTGTTCTCAGAGATAATACGCAAAAAAATATATATATTGTATCCGAATAAGTTTCTTTTTTGTATGTATATATTATATATTGATTGTATTAGATTGAATACATCAAGAAAAAAAAAATCAATGAAAAATCTATCATTTATATTGCAGATTTCAGATTTCAGAGATGTTGATTAATAATTTCCAGATTTTATTAAACGATATCGATTCAGTTGATGAATTATTCAAAAAGAAGTTTTAGTATCTTTAGAGAATTCAAAAAAAAAAAACTTTGCTTCAATATGATTTGATAGAGAATATGTTGTTCTATCTTGATATATACTTCAGATACTTAGAAATATGATGAGAATAAATGATTAGATTAATATTAATATATTTTTATAATAAGATAAATATCTTCGCTGATTGATTTGATATTTCTATTAATTTGATTAGAATTTCATTTCAAATTAGATAGTATAGTAATTATTATTCTATGTAGTTTTTCAAGCAAAAAAACTTTTCTGACAACTTTATGGAATAATGGTTTAGCGTTCTAGAAAAAACAAATTAATATGATCTATTTGTTAGAAATATTTCTTTTGTTTTTAGAGAGTATACAACATTAGTTTAATAATGCATATCTTCTACACAGAATAAACAATTATTATAAGTGTAGAATTCATTTCACGCAACAAAAAATCTCATTGATATTTATATCATGATGCATGACATCTAATGGAATTTTCTTAAAAAAGATATTGATATTCATTAATATAATCGTTTCTTTTTTTGTTCTAAAATACTTTATACGTTAATTATTATCTATTGTATCTTTGTTTATTAATTTAACTTTATTTGTTATAGATTAATTAACAGCAGATTTGCATGACAGTTAAATTCAATTATTTTTCTCGTCATCATTTTGTCAATTCTTTTGATTTTTATTAGATTTTACAAGGTTAGTTCAAATTATCGTAAGAGATTCTCTCTGGTTTTCTTTTGTATTTTCAAGATGATAATTCATCGATATCATCGTTCACTTTTTAAAATTCTTATGTTTTTTGGTTTACCATATAGTACAACAATGGCAACAAAATCAAATCATAATAATTATCAATTATTAGAAAAATTAGTCGGTTATGAAAATCGTAAAAATGATGTTCTATTTTTTCCGAATTCAATTCAATCGTCATCAAATAGTATTGTTTATTATTTTGGTGGAGATGTTCAGGTAATACCAGAGGATTGATCATCGGAAATTACAAATAAACGTATTATAAGATGTCTCAGAGATAGGAAGTTTTTCTATGTAATATCTATAAGTAAAAAAAATCATTTCGTATATACAGTACTGATCTAGATTATGAGAACAAGGTCATTTGAATTTTTTTTCCTACCATTGACCGTAACAACATATGGTATAATCGATTTCTTCTTTTCTCATTTAAATTTTTTTAAGTAGACAGAATTAGAGAAAACAGTCTGTACGTTCCAAATATAAGACTGATTAGTCGTTTTTTTTATGACGATTCTCTATTTATAGAACTTTTTCTGAATCTCAAATGTATAGTAACTATTCGATTTTCTGTCATGTGAGATTAAATAATTCATCTAAAAATACAATAGAAATACTTTTGAATCAAAGCTAATGAATAGGAAAAAGAAGATAAACTTAAGCTGTCGTTTCTTATTCACAAATCTTTAAGATAAGACTTGAAGATTTGTTTGACACGCTAAATGTCATGAGAGATTTTTCATTTAATTTGATTCAGACACCCTCTTATGATACTACAGTTTTCAATAAAACTTTGATCAGTCATTTTATTGATTCATTGTGATCAACTAATTATTGAACATATCAGTATCAGAAAACTTCCGATTCATGATAAAGAAAGAAAAGAAAAATAGGATCAATGCATCACGCAAGATTTTCTACATAATTAGTGTTACACGAGATTATAACATGCATAGTAAAATAATTCTGAATTGTGTTTTATGGAAGTCATTTTGTATAGATGACATCACATCGATCGGAAAGGTTTTAAACAAGATATTTATTCATTTTGAACTTGCTAGAAAGTATTTTTGAGTTTGTGTTCTTTTCGAATATGGGTTTAGAAATTTTGTTCGAGTAATGAAAGACATGCTAGAAATTGTTGAAGTCGGTCGTTTTAAAGAACGGATAAAAATTACAGCTTTTATCCGTTCTATAAAACGACCGACTTCAACAATTTCTAGCATGTCCTTCATTACTCTCGAACAAAATTTCTACGTCCAAATTCATAGCGTTTGACTTGTCAGAAATATTTTCTAGCAAGTCAAAATTAAACAAACATGTTGTCTGAAAACTTTCCGATCATCTATTATATAGTATAAAATACGCTATTAGTTTTATGTAGTTGAGATTAATTGAACTTTGAGTCTTAATTATATATCGTGATATGTAAACAATGTTCTTTTAACCTATAATTTAAATTATTTTCAAAACTTTTTTGTATTTCTGATGTTATTCGACGTATATGCAGCAAAATCGTAATTACACATTCTCATGAGTTTTAAACGACTATTATCGATCTCATATACTAATAGTGTTAGTCAACAAAAATTTATTCATTTCTTCGTTTTAACAAATACAGTAAGATCATCTTTTAAATCGAAAAGATTTTTTTTCTTAGTCAATTTTTCTCTTAAAACAGTGGAATAATGTTGCATTATATTCAAGTACATATAGTGAGTATTAAAATTTTTCTGCTGTAAGTGCTAGAAAAGGATCCAATTAGTAAATTGAACAGAGAAAACGGTTTCCAATAAGAATAAAATTATTATCGGAAACTTCAGAAAATCAAAACCCTGGTTTTTTAACACCTAGAGCATATAAATATAATTTTGTTTAGGCTACATAGAACAATAGAAGAAATAAATTTCTACATAATGAAACGTTTCCGAGTTCTTTGCGGCGTTTTGTTTTTTTAGTTGGAATACAGCAATTTGATTGAAGGTCAAAAATGAGTTTTTTTTTGTAGGAAAAAAGACGTGAGGAACTTCCATAGTTCAGCTAAAAAACATCGCAAAGAACTCGCAGACACAAAACCTAGTATTTGGGTTTTCTGAAGTTTCTATCTTTGAGAACCTGATAATCATTTTTATTTCCTTATGTTCATATTAGAAACAATTTTCTCTACTCGAATCACTATTTACATTCTTTCTAGTATTTATGACAGCGGGAAAAAAAATTGAAAATAAACCTTGTAAAATAATTTTGTTTTCTACTGTATATGAACAAATGATTAATTAATAAATTATTGCATTGATTTCATAATCATGTTGAAGAATTAGCCTTCTCATGGCTTTTGATAATATCCTTTTATGCATTAGTTGAAGTTCCGTAAACAGGAAAAATAATTCCATTTCAAAATAGATTCATTAAATTTGTTTCCTTAGGAATTCTACGGAAATGCTTATAAAAGATAGAATAAATTAAAATCCATTGAATTGAGAATTTTCTTAATTTGATTTTAAAATCATTTCTTTATATTATAGTCGATCAGATTGAGAGAATAAAATGCTAAAATTCTTTTAAAAAAAAAGAAACATTATTTATTCATTAACAAAAACTACAGAAAGGTGTTTTTATTATTTATTCTATGTTAAAGGATTTACCAGAACGTATGAATATATCAAAAGAAAATCGAAAATATCAACGATGGAATTTAGTATCAACTGGTGAAATTCTTTGTCGTCGATTTTTAGATTCTTCAATTGTTATTATACGACCTAATGAAATGAAAGATGGAACTTTTGCAAGGTTTGATAAATCAATTAATGTGTTTGATTTCTTTTGTTTTATTTATTATTTTGAAAGATTTTCGAATTTTGTACCTAAAACAGATGAATATGGTAGTCCAATTTCATACGATACAAATAATCTAATTGGTCTTCATCATTTACGTGCACTCGATGAACAGATTATGAAACAAACAACGTTAGTTGTTTAATTTTGGTTTTTTTTCGTTATTTTATTAATGAAAACTTTTTTAGATCATTGTCAGATATAATTCTCGTTGGTTTTAGTAAAGGTTGTGTTGTACTTAATCAACTTCTTCATGAATTAACTGCTTTACGTTTAATGAAAACAGATGTTGATGGTCTTTCAAAATTTGTATCACGTATTCGTACATTTATTTGGCTTGATAGTGGACATAATAATGGAAATCGAATAATGGTTTGGCCAATAGATGAAAATCTTATATTAACTCTTGTACATTATCAAATAAAAACTGAAATATATGTTACACCATTTCAAGTAAATTCACAAAATTCATACAAACAATATCATACTGAACATTATAAAAAATTTTCAAAATTATTACTTGATCAATCAACAAGTTTATCGACAAATGATCATAAAACAATAAATAAAATATTTTTTGCTGATGAATTACCTTCGATAGATAAACATTTTGAATTGTTAACTGTATTTTAAATATATATATATATATATTGTCTTTTTCGAACTTTTGATGGCATGTTACTCAATAGATTTATTATTATGTAATACTTGATCCTTGTGGTTTTTATCTTTGATAAACAATTTATTTCTAAGATTACTAATGAGGATATATAATCTTGTTAGAATGATGAATTTATTTATCATGAAAAAAAAAACAAAGGCAAAGTCATATATTATTTTCTATTTTTTACT